AAGAGGAGGAGGAGGAGGAGGAGGAGGAGGAGATGGAGGAGGAGGAGGAGGAGGCCCCACCTGGGGCTCCGGCAGGGGCGCGAACCAGTTTGGGGGGCAGCTTGGACGGGGACCGCCCGGGCCACGCGCGGGTGCGCGAGGACGACCGGAGCGAGCCCCGCCAGGCTCCGCGCGTCGCGGCCCGGGCCCGAGCCGCTGCACTTCTCCGAGGAGGCGGCCCGAGGGCGCGGGGGCGCGAAGACGGCCGCGCCTCGCGTCGTCGTTGTCGGCGTCGGCGCCGTCGGCGCCGTCGTCGTCGGCGTCGTCGTCGTCGTCGGCGTCGGCGTCGGCGTCGTCGTCGTCGTCGTCGTCGTCCCCGCCGGGGAGGGCCATACCTCTACCCTTCCCTTGTCTTCCCCCGTTTGGGCCTCCTGGGGGGCCCTTGTCGTCACCGCTGCATTCGCCTCGAAGTTCTGGTCAGAGCGCACCCATGGAGAGGTTCGGGGAGAAGCCGTATGGGTACCATTTGGTTTCCCCATACGCGGTCCCCGTTCAGTCCCGCCCAGTTCCTCAGGCCCGAGCCGTTTCTGGACGGCCCCGGGGCCTGGCGAGGGCCCCCAGACAGAGGCCGACCACGCCGCAAGACACTTTCCGCCGTGCTTCTTGCCACGGTCGGCGAGGGGAGAGCATGCTACTACGAGTTTCTTAGTAAGCGTCGGGGGGGGCGCTACCCCCGCCGACAGTCCCACATCGACCCCCGTCGCGGGCAGCCGCCGCGCGCCGAAGACGCTCCGACCCCCGTCGCGGCGCGACGGCGAGGCGAGGTTGACCCCCGTCCGGGGGGTACCCCCCACGCTTATTAAGGAACCCAGAGTATGCATGGAATCAAGTCACCGATCAGATGAACGAGAGCTATGATGGTTCTTGTGATTTTGAGCCGGTTATGATGCCCACTCGTGCCCATCCTGTCCCGTCCCGTCTTCAAGGATTTCGCCCCCCCCCATGATGGCGACATGGGAAGACGGGCCGCCACCCCCGGCACTGCACGTACGGTGCCAGGTGCGTGGGGATCTGCCCCGTCGGCCCACCTATGCTGGGAGCTGCGGCGGGTCTAGGGCCTACGGCGGTCCTCACCCCCGCTGGCAGCTGCCGAAGAGGTGAACAAGCGGGAGATCGTGGCCTGGGTGAGCTTCGACGTGCTCCTGCACGCCGCCGGCGCCGGCCCGCCGCTGCGCCGGGCGGAGCGGGGCCGCGTGCTGGGCTGGCGCCGGGACCTGGAGGAGGGCCGACGCCGACGCCGACGCCGACGCCGACGCCGCCGCCGCCGCCGCCGACGACGACGACGGCGGCGGCGGCGAGCGGCTTCTCCTCCCGCTCTCTCGGCGGCGCGCACCTAGGACCTCCCACGCGCACGTCGAGAGGGGGAGAGGAAGGAGCACAGCAGTGGCACGCCGCCGTGGGGGCCCGTCGGCGTGTGGCTCTTCCGTTTTTGCCCGAAGGTCTGGCGCTGTGTTGTTCCAATCGTCCTCACGGACCGCATCCCAGAAGTTATTTTCGAGCACCCAGAAGGGTATCGAAACGGTGTCGACACGACACGCTGGCGAAGCGCGGAAGAAGTATGGCCTCCCAGGGCCCGACGCGTGAGAAGTCTCCGGTTTTTTGGTACTTTCTCTCCGGCGCTCGATATTCTCTCCGGCGATCAAGGCTAAAGTAGGTTGGAGCATCACAAACTTGGCGCTTCTTCAGAAGCTGCACGCTGATGGGTTCCAAACGGCCGATGGGCTCGCCGCGGCGGCGCGGGGGCCAGACCTCCACCGCTACACCGGACAACGGCACCCTTCTGCGGCAGAAGGCCCCTGTGCGCATGGCCTCCTCCGCCCGCTGTCGGCGGCGCGCGCGCCCAGATCTCCCACGCTACAACATTGCATGGGGAGGAGGGACATAATCATCAGGAGGGGGAAACACACGCAGACACGATGAATCGTCGATCCCCAAGAAAATATGGGAAAACGTGGGGAGTGGCATGGGGCGACGAAGCCCTAGAAATATATGGAAAATCTATGGAAGCCTGGGGTATGTGTTTCTTTGTTTGTGTGTCCTTGGGCCCCATTCAACAGATGCCGAGGCCGTTGTCCTCCCTCTGTGCCTGCGGCGAGGTGCGAGGCTTCGGATGTTTCGAGGCCTCGGGCGGCTCTCGCCCTGGCTGGGCCCGGGAGAGGTCTCTCGCCGCCGCATCTGGCTTCGCCTCGAACTATTGGCCAGCAAGCACACCCTGGGAGAGGTCTGTGGAGTAGCGGTATTGGCATGTGCTCCTTTCCGTTGCCATGCACTCCTCCCTCCTCCCTCCTCCTTTCCGTTGCCAAGCACTGGGGCGACATTGCAAGGCCCTGTGACTTTCAGGAGGACGCGGGCCATGGCGCCGCATATTGGCGCTCTGCGCGAGTGAACTTGCTGGGTTGGGCTGCCACATTCAGCGTGCTCCTGCGGAAACAAAAAATCGGCATGTGCTTGTTACGTTGCTCTCCTCCTTCGCGGCCGCCCCCTTCTGTCTCGGGCTCCTCTCCCGCACGCTGGGCAGTTTGCTTCTCGATGTCCCCGTTGAGCTCTTCCGCTGGTGCAGCAGTTCTGCCTCGCCGCCGACGAACCAAGTTTTTATTACGATGGGAAGACCATGATGGTCGGACGGGGCCAGGACGAGGATAAACCCGTTTCAGAGCGTACCGGAACGCTCTCAGAGCGTTCTGGAACGCTTTGAGAAGGCCGCGGCGCCGGAGACATCCTCCAGAGCCCGGACCTCAGAGATTCCGATGTTCTCCTCATCCTGGCTTCGTCTTGGGCCATGCTGGGGCTCGTGCCTGGGGAGACCAAAATGTACCGATACAGCTACTCCCGAGACCTATCCCGGAGTGCGTTCTGATCAGGATCTCGAGGCGAATCCACTGGTGGCGACGAGGGCCTCCCTGGAGGGCCAAGCAGAGAGAATCGAGGGAAGGGTAGCCGCATTCGAAGAAGAAAAGGCGCCATAAACATAAACTGTTTTGGCGCTCCACGCGCCTCTGGCGCCGCCCCTGGCGCCGCCCCTGGCGCCGCCCCTGGCGCGCTCCGCGCGCCAGGGAGGGGGTCCAGCGCAGATCCAAGAAATCCGGGCGGAGCGCCAACAAAGTTTACGTCTTTGCCGCTTTCCTTTCTTTTCCAGTAGCGGCATGGGTGCCACTCCCTCCCCTGCGTGCCTTCGGCACCCGGGCCTCCCGTGCGCCCGCGGGGAAACCGTCGAGCCTGGCCGATGAATCGGCGATGGGCCCCCGATAGTGAAGCCCCACGTCCCTGGGCGGGGTGGGGCTGTGGTGGGGGCGTTGGTGAAGGAATGCACCCAGGAGGCTGCAGACCCTGGAGGATTCCTTACCTCGTGAGGGCGGCGGCGATGTCCATGGCCAAGCCTCGATCGGAGTTCCACCGGCCTCCAGACCCTGGATTCCTTACCTTAGGGTTCCTTCTCCAATGTTCCCTTATCCGTGACAGCGAGGCACTAGTGACCTGTCAGCTCTCGTGTGTAGTGTACGTACTTCTCACGACGTGCTGGTGCATGTTTCACGAAGTGGTCCCCTGTGCTGCCTCATCAAGAAGAACTCCTCATCCAATGCCCCCACCGTATCGGGGCCTCTCTCGGCGATGAGTGGACGACTGCCGCCGCCTCCCGTGCGCGCACGCGGGCCGCGAGCCGCGCCCGGGGCGTGCCCCGCCGGGTGGGCGCGTGGAGCGGAGACTCGCGCCGGCGGCTCCGCCCCGCCCGGGGGGGGGGGGCGCGCCCGCTCCGCAGCCTCCTGCGCCCCGCCGCTCCTCGGCCCCCCCCCCCTCCTTCGACGAGGAGGAGGAGGAGGAGGAGGAGGAGGAGGAGGAGGAGGAGGAGGAGGAGGAGGAGGAGGAGGAGGAGGAGGAGCGGGAGGGAAAGGAAGAGGAGGAGGAGGCGGCGGCGGCGGAGGAGCAGGAGGAGGAGGAGGAGGCGGCGGCGGCGGAGGAGGAGGAGGAGGAGGAATCGGCGAGGGTTAAGTTGGGCTCGTCCCTCTCCAGGAGGAGTCTTCCAGAAGAGGAGACAACATAGTCAGGCGGCGATTTTTCCCGTGCTCCCTGGACTGCTTTGGACTGGGTGCCGTCTTTGTCATTCTTCTTCCCAGATCCGCCGCCTCCGCCACCTCCGCCCCGCCGCCCTTGTCCAGGGTTCCTAAGTGGGGTCCGAGCAGCTGGGGTCGGAGGACAGCGCCGCATCGCCCATGCATCGCCTATTCGGCTCGATGCGGAGCCTGGTTTTCTCCGCGCTGGCGTCGCCGATGCATCGCCGACGTGGCCGCTGCATCGACGATTTAACGACCACGCATCGACGATGCATCGGCGATGCGGCGCGATCTTCCGACCCCATCTACTCGGACCCCTTCTGGGAGGCCTCTACCCTCGGCCCCCCCTTCTCATTCGATCAGGTGATCGACTACATAAGTGATTCTCTCCCAGATTTGTCCGTCGCATGGAATGTGCGTAGAATGTTTCGTGAATCTACGGAGCATTGTACGCCTTTTCTCGTAGACCCAACTTAAGAATCAACTCTGGGGTGTAACTCAAGTCTATAGTCGATCCCCTACTCGACTCCTGCCTCGAGGGCGGCCCCCGCGTGCGCGCAGGGGGCCTGCGGGCGGGAGGATCACGGAGCAGGATCAGAGGAGGAAACGGTACCCATACCACGCTACCCTTGATGGGCAAATTTTCCACCACCACCACAGGTAAGTCGGGGGAGGAAAGGATGGGTCCTCCTCCTCCTCCTCCTCCTCCTCCTCCTCCTCCTCCTCCTCCTCCTCCTCCTCCCACCTATGGTAGTGGTGGTGGAAAATCGGCCCATCAATCCCTTCCCTCGTCTTTCCGCCTTTTGGGGCCTCCTGGGAGGCCCTCGTCGCCGCGGCCAGATTCGCCTCGAAATCCGGGTCAGGACGCACCCCGGGAGAGGTCCAGGGAGTAGCGGTATGGGTACCTCTTGG